GTTGTGCAATTTTTTTAATGTGAATAAGGGCTCACCCATGTGAAGAGGCTGAGAAACACAGATCTGTACAAAGGCTTGTTTAGTATAATATGAAACCTGGCTGACCCTGAGCAAATTCCACTATTGCCTTGCTGCCATCACAGACGTCCCATCCCTTATCAGAGCCATGTACTACATCGGAGGAAATGCTAGAGAGCTCTCTTTTCCAGGGGTGGCTGCAGAGAAAATCCCCCGTGCAGAGGTGGCTGAGGGGCACCCAGCATGTTATAGAAATAGCGGGCTACAGCTGGAAGTGGCAGATTCAGCTGGAGAATTGATGGTCATTTTCCTACCCCACCTCAATCTACCTCCTTAAGAGCGGAGGACTTACCCCATGGGAAGGTATGGGTGGGGGTCCCAGATTCCCAGGGGAGGTGGGGGAGATGGAGTGAATGTGGGGGTGCAGATATTTCCCCCCCAATAAAGTGCCTGAATCCCCCAGCTGCTATCGGGGGCAGGAGGAGTGACTACATTTGGAGCAGGTGAGACACTGGGCTGGAAGGTGAGGCAGAAAGCAGAGTGGCAGCTTCTCAGACAGGGGCGTTAGCCAAGAGCCCACCAGGGCCCAGAGCGTTCCCATCCCAGCACCGGGCGGCAGCAGCAATAGGACGATGTTGCAGCAAGGAAGCGAAGGAAGAATCCTCAGGGTAAAGCCAGCTGCTGGGCGTGGAGGGACAGACACCAGCCCTCGCGGAGTCATTCCCACTTCACTTCCCTTCCTTCTCAGACCATTCCTTGTAGCTGCCTTCGTAGTTACGGGCCCTGCAGAGACAGGAAGTGACATGTGGATCAGAATGAGAGATGGGAGGGACTATCCACAGCTAGATGGACCCGCTGCCTCTGGAGTGGAAGAGACAGACCCAGCCCTGTGACTGCTCATGGGCCAGAAACCCAAGTGGGACCAGAACATCAGAGGCGGAGCTGTGCCCAGAACTTTGAGAAATAACCTGTCCCCAGCACAGGGTCATACGGGTGAATTTGAAGGGTCCCTGAGGAACCAAGGTAGCTGTGGGAACATTCCCTATGGGGTTAGAGCATAAGAACATAAGAACGGCCGTACCGGGTCAGACCAAAGGTCCATCTAGCCCAGTATCCGGTCTACCGCCAGTGGCCAATGCCAGGTGCCCCAAAGGGAGTGAACCAACAGGCAATGATCAAGTGATCTCTCTCCTGCCATCCATCTCCATCCTCTGACAAACAGAGGATGGGGACACCATTCCTTACCCAGCCTGGTTAATAGCCATTAATGGACTTAACCACCATGAATTTATCCAGTTCTCTTCTAAACGCTGTTATAGTCCTAGCCTTCACAACCTCCTCACGTAAGGAGTTCCACAAGTTGACTGTGCGCTGCATGAAGAAGAACTTCCTTGTATTTGTTTTAAACCTGCTGCCTATTAATTTCATTTGGTGACCCCTAGTTCTTGTATTACGGGAATAAGTAAATAACTTTTCCTTATCCACTTTCTCCACATCACGCATGATTTTATATACCTCTATCATATCCCCCCTTAGTCTCCTCTTTTCCAAGCTGAAGAGTCCTAGCCTCTTTAATGTCTCCTCATATGGAATCCGTTCCAAACCCCTAATCATTTTAGTTGCCCTTTTCTGAACCTTTTCTAGTGCCAGTATATCTTTTTTTAGATGAGGAGACCACATCTGTACACAGTATTCGAGATGTGGGCGTACCATCGATTTATATAAGGGCAATAATATATTCAGTCTTATTCTCTATCCCCTTTTTAATGATCCCTAACATCCTGTTTGCTTTTTTGACCGCCTGCACACTGCGTGGACATCTTCAGAGAACTAGCCACGATGACTCCAAGATCTTTTTCCTGACTTGTTGTAGCTAAATTAGCCCCCATCATATTGTATGTATAGTTGGGGTTATTTTTTCCAATGTGCATTACTTTACATTTATCCACATTAAATTTCATTTGCCATTTTGTTTCTCAATCACTTAGTTTTGTGAGATCTTTTTGAAGTTCATCACAGTCTGCTTTGGTCTTAACTATCTTGAGCAGTTTAGTATCATCTGCAAACTTTGCCACCTCACTGTTTACCCCTTTCTCCAGATCATTTATAAATAAGTTGAATAGGATTGGTCCGAGGCCTGACCCTTGGGGAACACCACTAGTTACCCCTCTCCATTCTGAGAATTTACCATTAATTCCTACCCTTCATTCCTGGTCTTTTAACCAGTTCTCAATCCATGAAAGGACCTTCCCTTTTATCTCTTGACAACTTAATTTACGTAAGAGCCTTTGGTGAGGGGCCTGTCAAAGGCTTTCTGGAAATCTAAGTACACTATGTCCACTGGACCCCCCCTTGTCCACATGTTTATTGACCCCTTCAAAGAACTCTAATAGATTAGTAAGACACGATTTCCCTTTACAGAAACCATGTTGACTATTGCTCAACAGTTAGCTAGGAATTACTCTGTCCTCTCTCTCAGTAGCTAACCAAGACTTTGTCTCTGTGGCCTTGGTGAGAATCTGGAGTACCACCATCCCCTCCAGTGAGTTTACTCCAGAATACACCAGTATAAGCAAGATCGGTGCTGAGGGATATCTGAGCCCTCTCCTTCTCCACCAGACCCAATGATTTCTCCATTAATAACCCTATACGTGAGAGCTTAGGGGGGCGCTCAGAAGGGCTGGAGTCCATAGGACCCAGGGCATTTTAATCACCTACACCCCTTGCCTCCAAACCCACAGAGCCCGTGGTATGTTCACAATCTCCCTGAGGGTCTAGTGCCCCATGGTACAAGAGCCCAAGGTGGAGGGGCAGGCTCACTTGGCGTAGCCGAGGGTTATGGCGATCTTTGTGGCCTGAGCCGCTCTCCTGCCCCTCTGGCAGTAGAAGATCAAGTTCTCGTCATCCATCCGTGGCTTGTCCATGCCATATTTCATCTTAAACGTCTCAGGGTCCATCTTCAGGGCTTCCTCGACTTCTGCCACTGGGTGGGGGAAAGAGAGAGAGATGATCGCGATCAGCAGTGTTGGTGTATCACATCTCCACTAGATGGGGATGTGACACTAGCTAATGGAGTTACTCCTTTAGCTCAAGTGGTAAAGGTCTGTATCTTTATGCTGAAGTTGCAGAGTTAAACCCTGATGATGATTGTGGGCGAGTGCTACACTGCTCCATAAATACAGGCGATGATGCTCTTATGTTTATGCATGCAAGTCCCACGTTCTTTATAAAGGGACACAAGCTACCACTTTTCCCACTCCTGAATTGCAGCACCTTCTGTGGTGGAACACAGCAAATGAGCAAGACACGGAAACTCTGCACGTCCATTTAGAACAGGAAGTGAAGTAGAATCCTGCATCCATTTAAAACCACCAAGGTAGTTTAAGGAAGGAGAGAATTCCCCAAGCTGGAATTTGGCCAGGGTTACGCCCTGTTAGGAGTGCTAGTAATAATGCAGAATTCAGGCCTGTATTTTTGCCTGAGATAGAATTTTAGATTTGTTTGCTCATTTAATTTTTGATACATTTATATTCTTACTAATATGTGTAAACAAAGGACAGCCACTGTTCATGTTGCTTCTGCCTAGCCAGATACGTTTGTTAGTATAATGGAAACAGATAAGAACAGTTGAAGTGTTACTGGGTATAATGAAAGTATAATATAGGAGTGCACATGTTAACACTGCCTCAACCTCTATCTTAAGGGAAGGTCAAACAACCCGTTGGGAAGGGCAGGAGGGGATTGGGGGGAAGGTATAACACACTAAAAGGCAAAAAAAAGTGCACCTGTTCCTGACTGTACCACAACCTCACTCCTTACCCCTCCCATGGGATACAAAAGAGGTGGGACCAAACCCCCAGACTCATGACCCCCAAAACGGAACATGACCATCAATTGTAAGGGGGGGGGGGGGGACCGCAAGCGTGCATTGCAGGTATAATGCTGCCTGCTAAAGCGGGGAGAGAACGGAACACTGGGGAACAAGGCTCTGCAGTGTCCAAGTTATTGACATGCTGCCTTAAAACCAACCCCAATAAACATCGCATTGCCTGCACTTCGGCCTTCTGGTCTTCTGCTTTCTGTCTGCATGACAAGAACCAGGGGAGAGGGTGAAGGGAAAGCCCTCTACACACCCATCTGCTTGTGCACACGTAGGGTCTTCATTGATCCAGCTTTGGTCTCATGTCACTTCCCCAGCACACTGGAGAGCAGGGAAGAAAGAGCGCCCCCTGCTGAGTTACTAATTCCACTTTCTCCAGGGCTCTAGTGCTACGTATCAGGAACGATGGGCCTGGAGTCCTTGCAGCTGACCTGGGGCTGGCTGGCTCAGCCCTCAGGCAGGCTAATGAGCCCAGCTGGGCTGTGGCAGAGTCGCCTGATTGGCTCTTCCATTGGCTGCAAGGAGACTACGGATCTGCATTTAAACTCAGCGGCAGGTCGCTGACTCCTCCATGTTTCTGCCCGCAGCTGCGATCACTCCTGTGCCCGCCTTGTTTCCAGTCCTGCTCCAGTCCTGCTCAGTTCCTGACTCCAGTTTTGACCTTTGGCCCTGACTCTGGCTCTGACCGCTCAGCCTGACCGCTCACGCCCTGGTCTGTGACACTACATGTTGCCCTCTGCAGTGGGGGGGACGCTCCCTCTA